TCAAACTAGTAACGATAGATAATGAGACCAAGATGTTGCGGACTCTATTATGGTCGCGGTCTCATTTTACTTCTAGAATGGTTTTGACCTTGTTTTCCTACTTGGTCATGCTGTAAGGGAGGCCTAGTTAAACGCACCTTATTCGAAGTCCTTCAATATAATAAGTATGATAATTCTCAGCGCCTAACCGTGGAGCTAGTACATTCATAGACGTAGGCACGCTGACAAATCGTCGCATAAAACGTTTAGTGAAAAAACCAAATATATCCTTTATTTTTTAATCTAAGTAGTAAATAAAGCACGTTATATATTTTCCTCGAAGTGTCTTCCATTTAGTTATGCCTTATTTACCATCACCATCACTGCTAATTTGTTAAACGCTTTATTACATTTTAGTTTGAATTAGAGTACAACATCAAAATGTTATGGCAATTTCACAAAATCCTTCATGACATGCATTGACCACTATTACTACTGCCGATTCATGCTCTTTGGTTTCCGTTCATGCTGAAATATCTTACATCAGTGATAAAGACGAGGCTTTATAGGCCATTCATTTTAATTGCGATTATTTCTAATTCTCAACTCCAATTTTTCTTTAAACTTCTAGTTAGATAAGGCTCAGCATATATGCGTATTCCGAAGTCATCTCAATTTTGATTAAATATATTGAGAGAGGATTTAAACAGGATAATGAAAGATTGCTTTACTTGCCTGATTAAGTCTTGTATATGCGAAATGATAGTCTTCACAAAAATGAAAAATTCTACACATAAATCGGTGCAGTACCTTGTCTAGTCTAATCTCGATTAACCTCGTGACAGGCATTTTTAAAGCAAGATACCATCTAAAATCTAGAAACGAAATAGATTTTGTCTTAAGAGAGTATTCGTGTCTATAAAATGACCCGTAAGAACATACATCAACGCAATATTATTGTGTAAAACACTAGTAAAGATTTGATAAAAACCTAATCTTAATCAACATTGGTCAACAAGCTGTGAATACATATCATAACGTAGACTTGAGTTTAGCATGAATTAATCGGAACGAAAGGCTGTTAATCAGGAGCAGCTGCGCCAAATATGTGGCCTAAATTCCAGTATAGGCACAGAAGTTTAAAGAGATGAATAATTGGTTTACCTAACTTGATACCCTACTCATTAATTATCGCATTACCGATAAAAGTGCAAGCAGTGAAAGCTGAGATCGCTAGTAGATACGGAAGAAAGAAAAGAATAGCCATAAGGATACTTGCTTAATGATGAATCTCATCTAACTTTGATCTCATTCTCAAGAATGCCCAGGACCATAAATATATCTCAAGTGTAATAAATTGTTAGCGACAAAACACATAACTAAAAACTTCATGTGTCAATTACCAGAGATATAATCAACCATGCTTACGCTATTTACAAAATATCAAAGAAATTTAAGAGTTCAGAAATTTTATTACATAATTACCATTCCAGATTAGTTTTGTATCAATTTATTGCCCATATGAGACAAAAAATTTTAAATCGATTTTTGTAGCAACCGTATGAACAAGGTATGGGGTGATATACAAAAACAACACAAGTGAGTAATTAAGAGAAAAGCAGATGTAATACAAGAGAAGCTAGTTGATCTAGTGCAAATGGATCCTCCACATTTCGTAGGTCGAGACCCAAGAGGTCGGGACCACGAAATCTGGAAGACGATTTACCACAGAAGTAAGGTAGGGTTGAACACCGGAGGACCTGGCAGGGTCAAGGTATTGCGCTGAAAGCGCAATATCGATAACATTTTTAGATGGCGAACTCTCGACGTCTTGATCGTGAAGTGGTTGAGAAATAGTGAGCCAGAAAGTGAAGGGGGCTGACCAAACTTCGCCTATGTGCTCCTTTTCGGTTAAAGATTGTTCAAGATGAGTGATAACATAATGCTGCGATCCGTCATATGAGCCTGGATTTTCCACGTCTAGACAAGGCAAAACAAAAAATTTTGATACGGCTGACAACGTGGCATTTTGATTAAAGAAATGTAAAGAATTTTGAATATTGGCGAAATTACAATAGGTCGCTTACGGTGATTTTGTAACTGATAGTGGCATTTTCAGAAACAATGAAATGTATTGGCCTGAAAGTGCTAGATTATTGGGAAGACTTTCATTTCGTATGAAAGTGTATGAAGAAGAGATTCAAAAATCGATCTCACCGGCTGAATCCCGTCGTACTGTTGCCGATTTGCTTTAATACGACGTTTAGATTGACGCTGTCAATGAGACCTCTTCCCCCGTTTCGGATGTAAACGGACTAAGTTTTCGTCCATCATATGACCGACATCATCAGAGATGGAACTCATTTTTGAAAAAGTCTCACGTTAACATCAGGCCAAGAAGACTATCCGGTTCTATCCTATCTCTTATATATACTCATAACTAAAAACGAAAATGAATGGGCATAGATAGATATAGGGTGGTTTGGCTAATTAGTTTTCATAGTGATCATGCTACTTTTCCCTGTTGTGTGTATGTGTGTGTATTAGCATCTATACGCAATACCGGTCCTAAATCCGGGTGATCAAAAAGGTTAATGTCAGGGTCTGGTCATCAAGGTTTAATTACCCAAGAAAAAGCCCTGGCCGAGACTGTGTAAGTCCGAAAACAAGTAAGGTTAAGAGAATGAGATGTAGCCTTGTAAGTGTGTAAGTTACGAAACCACCGGTCCTAACCTTTCAGTATAGGGTCATTAGAGTTTAATCACCCAAGGAATAGCATTACTGTGGCTGCGTCATTTCGTACGTCTGGTTAGGTTGATCAGCTAATCTGCATGTTGGACGAGTGTGAGTGAAGTTAGAACCATCACTGAGCAGATAAATTGAGACGCCTTCTTTTGGATGGCGACTCAGCACCCTCTCTCACTTTGAATCTATCAATCAAGCATATGTAGTACCTACTCAACTTTTTACCAACGTTCCTCACATTCAAAGTATTCCATAACCTATTAATTTCAATTACTTTTCTTATCTTCCTTTTAAAAGCAAACCTACTATAACCAGCAAGCTTACTAGTTTGAGACACTTCTATCTCATGCCCAGTCTCTCGCCTGCGTGTTCGGTCACATCTAGGCATTGGAATCAGCTCCCTCTACAAGCATTTATGTGTCCCATAGCCTCCGTCGAATGGGTCCGAATGATTCCCCAACATAAGGGCGACCACAGAAGCACCCAATCTTGTGGCATCTGGATCTAGATAATGGGTTATAGTTATCTCTAACAGATAACATAACGGAAGAAAGTGTGAAGATTTATTTAGGCACTTCTTTTATCCCCCACTTTGTCACTGGATCTCCTAACTTTTTTTAAAAAGAAGACGACGGTGAAATTAGGATATGAGAAAGGGTCTTCTCTCGTATATCTTTCACTAAATAGCATCCATCTGAAAATTTATTCTTAGTAATGAGATATTATTAACAATTCGGCCCAATTTATAATTAGTTTATAGAACTATATTTTCCAACCGTTCAACTCTTTAGTCAAATGGTTGCTATCCGCTAGTCTCATACTACTAATAATCATTGATTTCAAATTTCCAACCTTTTGTAAATACGACTGGAAAGAAAATCCGGACAAGAGCCTATTAACATCCCTTCCTAACTTAGCATTTTCTCTAATGATCAGAACATCCAAAAAGGGTAAGGATCTATCATATTCTATTTCCATCGTTATCATAATGCTACTTACACATTGGTTAAGTGAAAGTAGGAAATTATATAAGCTTTCCTTATCATAAAGCCAGATGACAAAATAGTAATCCATGTATCTAACCCACAATTGAGGGGTTAGTATTACCTGTTCCAAATAGTCTTCCTCTAATTTGGCCATATAGTTGTTCGCCAAGATGGAAGCTAAGCAAGATCCAATCGCCAATCCTTGTGTTTGTTCATAAAACTTGCCATCAAAGATAAAGTAGCTGATACTCATGGATAGGTCAAGAATTTTAATAATGGAGGATATACTTATCCTTATTCATTCTATCAGTGGTTCGCAAAATTTTCCTAGTCGCGGCGCCCTTTTTCAATTAAAATTTTTCCATAGCGCCCTACCCTAAGTATGACTATTC